CTAGCTCAAATATTTTTTATAGGCTTCAACCTAATATATAAAGGATCTTATATCTCCAAAATTATGACCTAAATATAAATAAAACCCTCTGAGTCATGATCAAAACAGAACCAAACCGAAACTGTCCCTTACCATGATCTAATTTACGTTTTCTTGTGATTGTCCACCCAAAACTTGTTAAACCACCAAGAAATTTACTTATTCCTCAAAACCCTCGGCTAAAATAGTGCTGAGAAAGTAGATGGTCGGATTTTGGAGTTTTGGTGCTGAAAATGGCACCAACTTGCTTGGTATCCTATTTAAACAAACAAGTTAGCACCTTAAACTACTTCATCATGAAGTAGTCCTACTACAGCTGAGTTAGTGTCACAATTTTCAGCCAAATCACCTCCTTAATTAGGTGTTTAATACTCACACACAATCTAATTTACAACCTAGGTCTTAGCCACTTAGATTACTTACTAAATTAGGTACATATACTCGCTCCGAAAAATTCGTTATACTAAAAACTATGTCTTAGAATTCCTTAACCGTTCATTATTGAAACTTGATCATCCCTTTTTGAATTCCATCAAATACACTTAAACATAAAATAAAGGATATCATAAGAGTATATATACATTATTTGACGTTGTGATGATTTCGTGACGATGACAAATTGAGAAGTAAATTGGATGATGATGATTTGACGATGATTATGATTTGATGATTTACATACTTCTCTTATGATCTTGTTGAAAGTTTTGATGAAAATCTATATATGTATATCATGTGATTTTAAAAGATCTTAAAGAGACGAAGTACACGTTTGACGACGACGACGATGATGTTAAACTAGTATAAAGATCACATTTAACGGCGGTTTTTAAACCGTTGCTAATAGATATAACAACGGTTTGTCAAACTGTTGTCGTATCCAGAGTCGTTAAAGGTCCAAGACATAGGACGACGGTTTTTAACCGTCGTCTAATACGCACGTGTGAGAATCCAAAGAGGCTTTTTAAAGGAAGGTATTTTCGTAAAATCCATTCTCTGATGTGCACATTAGACAACGATTTTTGTAAAAGACCGCCGTCTAATGTGAGCTTTTAATGATGGTTTTTGTAAAAATTGTCGTTAAAAGTCTTAAAAAATTTTAAAAATATATTTTAGCCGAAACGTAGTACTAAACAACGATTTCTTCAAATGTTATTCATAAATTCTAAAAATATATAAATCATATTTCCTTAAACGACCTACACAAAAAACTTTTAAAGAACATGTTATAAATTCTCCTTCTCATATGTAATCAATATTATGTAACACAAATATTCAAAACCCACAAGTAAAGTTTCTCTACGAAATCTAACAACAAAAATACTTACATACAAAGAAAACTCTAAATCCAAACAAACTCAGAATTTGTAAGAGAGTGTCGAGGTCATGAAGGCCAACAAAATGCCAAGGTGTGGTGGCACATATGGTAGTGAGGTCACGACGGCTGATGATATGTGGGCATGGCTGCGGAGGTTGTGGTTTGAGAAAGTGAGGAGATCTAAGTGTTGAGAGAGAGAGAGAGAGAGTTAAGGTCTGAGGAAGAGAGAGTATTTAGAAGAGATGGGAGAATTAGACTGAAAAGATCATTGTTCACAAGAGAGTACTCGAATTTATAAAATAGATATCAAAGCTTTCAAAATTTTTGAAAAAAAAAAAAGAGAATGAGCGGGAAAAAACCCGTCTTTTTTTTCCAACAAATTTTAACATTAGATGACGGTTTTAAAAAACTGTCATCTAATGTGCTATATTAGAGGACGGTTTTTTGAAAATCGTCCTCTTATGTGCTACATTAGAGACGGTATCTAATGTGTGCATAAAAAATTTTGAAATATGAAAGTTTTCATGCCACGCCTTTTTAGCACATTAAACAACAGTTCTTTATAAAATGTCATTAAATAGGTGTCATGTAATTTCTTATTTATTGTAGTGTTAGGTGAGCAGACTTTTATCTCGATTGGCTTGGTAGGTCAATCCCCTTCATTTATTGTTGATTAGCGTACTTGACGGTACAACGTGAGGACCATACCTATATAGATGTATCTTAAAAAGAGTTTTGTTGATGTTTTATACATATGAATCATATGAGGCGATGACTTGATTAAAAGTAAAAGTTTTGTGAGAATTAAGATGAAATCATTATATTTTATGATATTTACTTGGTGTTATGCCTTCGCCATGTTTAATTGCCTTTGATATAGCTTATCCTATGTTTTGATAAAATGTTCCATGCATGTGATGCAAATTCATTACAAAAAAAAAAAGAAAGAAAAAAGGTATAGAAACATAAATTAGTAAATCAGATAACATATCCTGTTCATAAATGTGACATTTCGTTCCCATTCGAAAAAAAATGGTCGGAATAAGAGCAAACTGATAGACTGTTATGTTAAATTCAAAAAGTTACTAATCAGTATTATGTAAATTTTGTTAATTTCAACTTACACCTCCGTTATATGCGGGACTGCGTAATTTATACTAAAGATAAAGGAGGTTCCCATTTACTTTTTAGTATTAGAGTGTTATCACATACTTGGTTGAAATAGAAGCTCACACCAATATATATATATACATATATACATGTATATTTTGTTTCCCAGGTGATACCACTAAAATTGGAGTTACAATACTAATCCGTTAATACAACAGCATATTTGTTATCTTCGCTTGTATTCCAACTCAAGTTTTTTCCACTTTATAAGGTGAAAAGCCTATGATATAGGTGTAATTAAAATCATGTTTTTGTTACTAGGTTAGGAATAAGGCACGTCCAATTAATTAAGCCTTCAAGTTCATGTCATAAGCAATTAGTATTAAATCAAAAGCCAAGAAATATGTTTACCCGAGTGATGATGTACAAAGCACCAAAGAGACAGACCAAAGAGTGAAAGGGAAAGGTGTCAAAGAAAAAGGCAAAATGTGTCACCAAAAGGAATAAGGAGATGGAAAAAGGGCGTGCGAGAAAAGGAGAAGAAACTTTGGATTGTGACTATTGTCTAACAATATTCCAAACAAGTCCATATCAAAATCAAACGCTATGTCTTATAATGGAAGGGCCCTTCTTGCACTACCTACATGCAGTCCAATAGCACAACTGCTGGTTATTGAATTCGATTGCTTTAAGCATAAAACAGGGAAAACTTATCGAAATAAACTACATTTTCTTAACAATTTTATATGGGTCAATCAAAGTTGTCATTTAGTTTTGAAGATAGGATGGAAAAAGAGTTTCCACTTGGCCTAAGAACTAACTAATAATCAAACGTAAACTACGTATTTGCAAGCACCAAAGCTTCAATTGGATTGGTGAGACACATACAAGGGGAAAAGAAGAGAGAGAGAGGGCACTATAATAAAGCAACAATAAATGCAATATTTAGGTTTTTTCTAGGGTTTAAAATTTTAGTTCTGTTTGATCTGGTAACTTACGCAAAATATCATAATTCTTTGTATTCTCTTAACTCCGAGAGGATTTGAAAGAAAGACCCAAATCCTAAACCACCTTCAGACTTTTTCTTTGGAAAAATACATTACATTTGATTCAATCGAGTTATATATAGAGTGGGATATTGCAAAGAAAGCTGTAACATGACATAGCTAGGATCGATTTCACTACTGCTCTAAGTTAAGGGGCACCATTTTTTTTTTTTGGTGCCCCATTACTATTACTGCAAAGTGTCATTTTTTGTCAAATATTTAAGAGATGGGAAATTTGTAAGAGAGGTTAGGAAAGAACGGTTATTATAAATTAAAATTTATGACGCATTTTGTGACAAGACTCAGTAAGTGTAATTTGTCATTGACACAAAATAATATATTTGGATGCTTGAAATTGCATTAATTTGTATTCATTAATAACCAATAAGGAATCCAAGTAAATAAAAAATTTAAATAGAATGAGGACTTTAGTAGCACATTTGTGCTAAAATATGAGGCCATCATCACATCGACACTTTTCGTATTCTTTTTCTCCCTGCTTTCTGTCGCTTTGCACTAGCATAAATTCTTGGAGACACAGGTGGAACAAGAAAAATCATAAATTAACTAGGGAAACATTCTTTTCTTTTCATATAAATTAATTCGCTACAAACATGAACATTTTACAAATTTTTTTTTTCTACTAAATTAACATAAACGCGAAAGAAAGATTCTTCACTCTTCCACCGTACGGCCCTTCCTCATTTTTGCTTTTTGATATTCAACTTTGGATATTTTCTGATGCCTAGTGGCAGGTGGTAAAAGCCCAACTGAGCTTTTTCACATGGATATGGCCAGCCAGTGAATATGGTTTCCATATGCTTTCATAGCCCCAAAAAAATGTAGTACACAAGTGTTATGGGCAAAGCAATTAACATTCCAAATATAACACTGCGCAAACAAAGAACACTATTTTGTTAGGAAAGAGAACAAAAAATGTAAGACAAGGAAAAAAGAAATTTTATATCTATATATATATATATATATATATATAGGGTCCGTTTAGTTCGCTGATTCGAATTTTTAATTCGAGTTGAGATGTGACTTTATGTCAGAATTTTTTATTGTAATAAAAAAGTTAGATGTGACTGTTTCTGAAAAAATTTTACTATAGCAAAATTTGAATTCTAAACTCGATACAATAAAAAAGTTAGATGTGACTGTTTCTGAAAACTTTTTACTATAACAAAATTCGAATCGGTGAAATGAACGGGACCATAATCAGTTCATGAATTGAATAAATATATACTTACGCTGTGCTAAGAATATCAGGGTGTACGTTGTATTCCTTAGCGAAGACAAAGGGGACAATTCCTTGAGGAAGAGCAGCCTGTTTTATTATATGTTTTGGGGCATATCCAAGCACATGCATTGCAAAACAAAACATGTCAATAAATGGGACAAATGTTTGTTCTAGTTCTACATAAGTACCTCCAACACAGGTCATGCATATTTATATTTCTCACTTGGATTTGCCCTTATACTTTGCTTAATTTTATCTTCTGCTTTTTAAAATAATTGTTGTCTTCCTGTATTTTTATGCAAATTTTATTTTTCTGTTCTTGCTTATTGGCCCTTGTGCCTTATGGTTTATTTTTTATTATCTCCATATATTAAAATACAAATTCATCTCTGGAGACCCGGTTGGAATGCCTTGATTCTAACACAATATTTATAGCTTTAAAAGAAAAATTTTGAAGAGTTAGAGCACGTTTAGTTTACTGATTTTAATTTTTAATTTAAATTAAAATGTGATATTATATGAATATTTTATTGTAATAAAAAAATTAAATATGACTGTTTTTAAAAATTTTTTATTATATTAAAACTCAAATTATAAACTTAAATTAATAAAATAAAAAGACATTAATTGTTTAAGAAGAAAATGATAAAGAATTTTATCTAAGTATATATATTATGAGTCTGTTTAATTCATTAATTTAAATTTATATGTGAAATTTTTTTACAATAATAAAAAAATTAAATATAATTATTTTTAAAAAATTTTTATTATAATAAAATTTAAATTTTAAATTCCAATTCATAAAATAAAATTAACGTGTCTATAAAAGTAAGAAAACTTTTTTTTTTGGTATGTATGAAGTCATTGGTTGTGTCAGAAGGAGGCAACAGAAGAGAAAAGAAAGATTGTAGAGAAAATAAAATTAGAGAAAGATTGTAGAAAAAATAAAAGAAGAGAATTGAGAAGAGAAAGAGAAACAAGAGAGAGGCCATGACCTGAACAATGGCAACGTGTAAAAGAACGCCTCTAAGGCCAACAGCAATGGAAGCAGCTGCCATGACAGCTGGACCTGTAAGGAATCTCACAGCCATGGCAAAAGCTGCTATGGAATTTCCACATGCTATGATCCTGGGTTGCAAAGCCATAAAAAGACCTGTCATGGGACAAAAAAAAAAATCAGAAAATTTTTCAAAAAAAAAAAAAAAGGAAAAAGAAAAGAAAGAGAGAGAGAAAAGAGAAAAGGTATGTTTATTGGCATGCCCATAAACAGCTCCACCGCCATTATCATCACAACACAAATATCACTCACTCACAACACTGTCTGTCAGTCAGTCAGTCTATCTTTGAAAGACCTTTCATAATTATGATCACCACCACCAAACCCATTACATCAAAACCCAGAATAAACTTGGGACAAAAAAGTGAAAGATATAGTGAAAAAGATGGATAAAGAAATATATTGTTATCATTATTATTATTATTATTATAGCCTCCTCACTATTTGCTTTGCTTTTGTGCTAGTTTGTTTCTTTGCTTTGCTTTAACACTTTCTTTTGTAATCACATTTAATAATGAAAGGTGTGTGAGAGAGAGAGAGAGAAAGAGAGAAATGAGTACCCGAAAAAAAAAAACTGGCATTTTTTCCTCCTCGTTAATTAATGAGTAAATAGCAAAGGCATTTAGAGAATTTCTTTTTTATGAAAAGGGTTGTTTTTTTTGTACTGACCGAGACTGAACATGGCCATGCCAAGTCCTGCATCCGACAGTATGGAAATGGACTGCGCTATTATGGCTGGCATTTGAACATGCCACCTGCAAAAAAAAAAAACAAGAAACATCCCAAGAAAAAAAGAAAAATCTAATGATCATTGTTCATACGCAAAGACTAAAAGATTTTTCATGAATAAGGAAAGAAAAAATTCTGAAGACATGAAAAGGGACAAATTAGTATTACTTGAAAGAAACTAGAGACCAAATGAGGCCTATTAAGCTTGAATAAGTGTTGGGGTTTCTAATCAGCTTTCTCCAAACCATTATGAGAATAAGCCTTGTCATCACACTCGTTGGAGGCATGGCTTTTGGTTTCCCATCACCACCACCGCCACCGCCGCCGCCATTAATTGCCTTTTCACCTTCATGGTTGTTATTATTAACATCTAAAGCCCCTCTATTTCCAAAACTGAAATCATCTCTTTCCAAATACTCTTCTTGATTGTTCTCTCTCCGACCCTCCACTGAAAAAAAAATATTTAACTAAATAAAAACACACCAATTAACCTACCAAATGGAAAAAAGCGAAAAATCAGCACATTACCTTTCCCAGGAGAGACAGCTAATCTAACATCTTTCTGATCGTGATGACCACCATATTCATGGCTTCCAAATACATCGGAGACCGGAGAAGCACTTGAACTCCAAACGAACATATGAAGATCCTTATTAGCCTCTTCGTTGCTTCCTTTCTGCTGAGCTTGATTAGTCCCATTAGGCTTACTGTTACTCTTGGCCGCCGGGTTTTTCGACCCGGTCGGCGAAAACATCCCCGGGTTCGGAGCGGGATAATGCGACGACGTCGTATTCTGGTGACCGAACCTCGTCGCAGCAGTAGCCGCCATCGTTTGCTTGATCGCCCCATCTTCATCGTAGTTCGACGGCCTCGGCGTCGGGCCTCTTGAAGCCGAGAGGCCGTAAACGTCGCCGGCGCCGAAGTTGGAGCTCCTCCCTCCGGCCATCATGGAGTAAAAATCCGTGTGGTTGAAGCTGGAGCCTCTGGGCGTCGGGTTTCTCGACGACTGAAGAGAGTAAATCTCGGCGTTGGTGAGGTTCGACGGCCTCGGCGTCGTCGACGACAGCCCCTGAGACCTTCTCGAGAATATGTCCGATCTCGAAGCGTTGGATTTCCTCACAGTCACATGAAGCTTTCCATCCTCCTTCACCTCCGTTTCCGTTTCCAAAATCTGTCTCCCGTCCAACGACATGATATCGGAGTCGACATGGATTGACACGATGGAGCCGGCAGTGTCTGGAAACTGTTCGGAGATGAGTATTCTGGCTCCTCTGAATTCAAACAAGAAGAGCATGAGAGTGTACCAGATAATACACTGGAGAACAACAATCTGGACCATGAGAGAGCCGGAGAAGTCGCCGTACATTCCCTTGAGAAGAGGAATGCCCATGACGAGGGTGTTGGGGAGGGTGGAGAGAGAAAAAAGTGTTATGGTCCATTCCAAGCAGCCTCGCTTGCTGACTTTGGTCCAGACGGCGAGGACGGCAAGGACGATGATTTTCTGGAGAGTGTCGGCGGCGATGAAGCGGAAGTTCATGGCGTAAGGGTTGTTGGTGGAGATGAAGTGGAAGGAGAGGAGAGGGACGGCGAAGATGGCGACGAAGCGGTTTATGCCGGAGCATTGGTCGGGGCTGAAGATCTTCCACCACTTGACGGAGCCGTAGGCGAGGATCATCGCCACGTAGAGCGGGACCACCGCCGTCATCACGTGGTAGAAGTCCGATAATGTGATCATCTTTGCTCAACTCTACTTGGAAATTAAACGAACAGTAAAGGGAAAAAAAAAAAAAGAAGAAAAAGGAAAGGAAAGTTTTGTTGTTTGAGGTCTAAGAGAATATTGAGGGAGAATGAAGGATGTGAAGAAGATGGTGGTGGGAGTGATGATGAAAAGGGGACAGGGGAATAGAAGAGAGCATGTGTTTTTGGAGGGGTTTAATGTGATTTTCTTTTTCTCGGGTAATGGGTAAGAAGGAGAGAGAGAGAGAAGAGTTTTTATTTTTATTCTTTTGGGTTTTCAGGCTCTAGCTTTGAGAATTGGGAGACGAGAGAGAGCAAGAGTTTGCTTGCGCTTGCAGTCCCCAAAGCAAAGTGCACACACTACACACAAACTTAGAGAAGGTACTCAGCTTTTCTTTAGTTTGTTTGTTTATTTATTTATTTATTTTTCTGCCTCTTTGTATTTTGCCTTTTTGTTCCAAGTTGTGTTTGGATTCATTCAGCTATCTGAAGAAAAATAAAATAAAATAAAAAATAAGAGGAAGGAGAGAGATGGAGATTTTGGGTGGTTGTTTTGGGGGAGTGAAGTGAGGTGGTGAGTGGTGGTGCTATTTTTGTGACAAAACTTTTGTAAGTTGGTGAGTGGCTCTATCTTCTATGGGTCTACTGGTTGTGTAAAGAGGGGAAAAAGCATTTTTGTTAGAGGTGGGTATGTCTCTAAGTACTTGTATGGATAGCTTTATAACCTTTGCCAAAAGCTTCCATCTCTTTTCCTTTTCTTTTCCCTGCTTTTCTTTCTTGTTGGGTTCTATATATTTGGGCTCTGCTATAAATATTGGACGTGAGGGATAAGGGCTATATTTCTATGGCACTCTCTGTGTGATTTTATTCCTCTTTTCTAATTTTGTTGTTGGTTCGTATGGAATGGAATTTTGTTAACGTCAATTCTGTCGAAAAGTATTCCAGTAAATGCACGTAAAAGTTCAATCAAACAATCCACCGAATTCCCTCCATTTTAATTGACTAATGATGATAGCCAATCTAATCAGAATTAATTTTTTTCGTTGATTGGTTTGAATTAGCCGTTAATTAGTCTAAATGATTCGACGCTTGCTAGATGTTACGAATTATTGCAATTAATTCCTGTTAATTTTAGGTTATAATAAATTTTATGCAATAATTATATTCGCACAAAACAAGCCTGCAGTTGGATTGTTATCTTGAAAACCGATGGTTGGTAATTTCCAACTAATAAACATCCTAATGTACAAGCATGGCTAGTATTGCAATATCACGGTTCCGTTCATTTTACTAATTCGAGTTTTACTATAATAAAAAGTTCTTATAAATAATCACATCTAACCTTTTTACTACAGTAAAATATTTTCACATAAAATCACAGCTCAACTCGAATCAACAAACTAAACAACTTAAAACAGCTTTCTCACAAGTCTAACACAAATCACAATCCAACATGTATGAAGCGACGGGCACTAATATTTTAATTTATTACCATATATCCCTTGAATTTCGACCAAAATTGGGCAAACTATTCTTCTAGGGAATAGGATCATACCGTCCATGCACTTAATAATGAAATATGGGCCTTTAACATGGAAACAGACAAGGAAAAACGCATGAAAAGCAAAGGATAAAACAGTACAGTATTAGTTTCACGTGGACCCTAAAATGTCCACTCCCTGACTAGTAATCACACCGTTTGTTACTAAAAACTTCCAAGAACTTAAAGCCAATATTATTAGGTAGGGAATGGAGCCCATTCCTGAGCCTGATTCACTCTTTATGATCAAATCACATACCATATTCCTTAGGCCCAACCCAAATGCTACGTATTATCTTTGCCAATGTTTGTTGTTTTTTACCTTTGTCAAGTTGCTCTTGTGTGCTTTAGATATGCTCCAAAACCAAAAAAATATTTCCTTGATTTTCCGCAGCATTCTCATGTGACATGACAATGATTCATTCTCTTGATATGGTTGCTTACTTAGACCATCTCCCATATAAATATTAATTAATATTAATTATTAATGTTAATTATATATTTCGCATTAAAAAATTTATAATGATATATTTAACATGTTATTTTTATTTATTCTCTAATATATCATATTTCAAATACTAAATCTACTTTCTACTATAAATATTAAGCTTTGAAGTTGTAAAAATTAACTTATATTTTTTAAATAATTTGGAAATGTAGAAGTTGATTTAAAAGTAAACATATCAACTAATAGTAATCAAATGTCAAATTTATCATGTGCTATATACTTGATAATAAATTTGCAATAAAGTATAGCATATGGTAAATTTAGCACAATAAATGACACTGTTTTAGAGTGTGTTAAGAGCATCTCCAAGGAAATACTCTAAACTTTAGTTAAACTTTAGCTAAAATAGCTTGCGATTTTTAGGTGGTATACTCTAACCATACTCTCTACATTTGCTAAACATATATTATTTTAATATTTATTGAGCATAAAAATATAAATAACTTTATTGAATATAGAAACAACCTTTACATTTATTATGGCTTTAAAGAATAAAATAATATAAAAAATTAAATGGCTAACCCATTCTTGCTAGCTAAAATAGCTAGCCTAAAATGGATTCTCCAAAATAGCTAACCATTTAGCTAATATTTGGAGCAGAGAAGAACTAAATTATTAGTCATTTTAACTAAAAACATAAAATAGCTAGCATAGTTAGAGTTGTTCTTATACTTAAATGCCATATCTATCATTGGTACATCAATTTAACATTACATTAGAAATATTCTTAGTACTTTTCTGTTAAACCTAACAAGAGTGTGTTGGTGATACGTGTAGAGATCACATCGTGCTCAAAGTGGAAATGGATTTAAGTTACAAAAATAAACTAGTGCTAATTATGTCTTATGGTGGCTTTTAAATCACCGTAATGACGGTTTTTTAAAAACAATTGTTAAATGTCATATTCTATTGATGGTTTTAAAAAAACAAATCATCATCTAATGTATGCATTTAGATTTTCAAAATGTGGAAATCTCCGTTCCACTTTTTTCATACATTAGAGGACTTTTTTTTTTTCTTTAAACATCGCCAGTTAAATTGACGTCGTCCAATGTCAAAAATTATAGTAATGAAATTGAGTAAGACATAGTGTGAGTTGCTTGGATGTATGAAAGTTTTCTAATATTGGTTCTTGTTTCTCTTTCTTTTTGTTGAGACAACAAAAAAAAAAAAAAAAGAAAAAAAAAATTCCTGAAGGTTGTCATGGACCTAAAGCGACATCACAGCCAACCTTATAAGGCACCCTGCTCCTCCTATGGCCAATTGTCTCGCCAATAGACGCATTTAGGTCATCAAGTCGACTCGTTTTTCTCCGCCTTCGGCTTCTTTCTCTGGGGAACGACTCGTTTTTTTGTCATCATTGCATGCCATAGAAATCAGGTCAGTGGCACTCTCACCTCAATAATTTATTGCTACCCTACTTGCTCGCCTCCATAGTAGTTTGCATTAGCAGACCACTACTTCCGCAAGTGGCAATGCACAAAATAATGGGTGCTTGGAATTTTTTATGCTCAACTCGTGCACAGGGCTACCCTGCTCGCTCGTCTACGTGAGTGCTTGGCATAGTCACGATGACATTAGTGAGACCCGATGACATTAGTGAGACCCTACCTTGCCTGCTCGCCTCACAGGTGCTAAGCCTTGAGTTAAGATTCAAAGTAATAACATAATAAAATGTTATTTTTCTTTACAAGTATTGTCTAGCTTTATGAAAATTAAAGCAACATTAAATAAACTTTTTATTAACTATAAATAAATAGGCACAGAAAATTAATATCGCAGTTCGGTAACCACCTGCATCTGTGGGGCCACGCCCAGACATTGAATCATCTACTAATTCTTAATGATTACAAAAACTAATCAGACTTATACAAATAAAGACTCCATCTTCAAAATTTACTGCCATCATGTAGAATCAACTAGATACCCTAATTCAGCAAGCACCACTCATCTACAAAATTGCACGGCGAAATTTCTTCGTCTGGCAGGTCGCTCTCGTCCAAAAGCTTCAACTTCTACTCCAAAAAAATGATAAACGGTTGAACTCCCTTCAGCACTTTAAATCATTTTTGCCCGAAAACTACAAATTTTTCTCCCCAAAGAACGTTAATAGGAACTTCTCAAAATATTATGCGTGAAAACCCAGAAAGCTCATAGAATGAGTGGTCTTGAGTCATATGTATAGAGTAGTAGACGTTTATATCCAAACTTACTCAAAATTCAAACTGTTGTACAATATGTTCCACGACTTGTTGCAACATTATTTGATATTCACTTTAAAATCTGAACTCAACATCTTGCCCTATTTTCTCTACTCTATCACCATACAATCTTTATCCAATACACATTTAGAAAGGCTTTAAAATATATCTCAATTTATTCAAGCCTTATCGTAACCAGATTTTGACTTAATCAAATCATCTAGTGAATTACATATATCAAACTAAATCTGAATTTACACTTGCACTTGTACACCACTCTTTTATCTTCATTGCAATTCAAATATTAAACATCCTCTTTTTTAAATTCAAATCCAAGGCATATCGTCTACTCCAATCCTTATAATGACTTATCAAAACTGTTGAACTCGAAACCAACTGCAACTTGAATTCAAACCCACAAACATAAATCTTTTGACTTTTAAACCACAACTGCTATATCTACTTTGCTGGAACACGATCAAGTCTGCACTAATATCATGATTAAGGCTGCATCAATTTTTTCTTCACCTGTTTTTTGAATTTTTACAAGATTCTTCACCTAACAGCCTCTTTTGAAGATTTTGCCAAAGGCTCCAAACAAGGTTGACCCAGCCCTGGGTGGCCTATCTCTTCTTGATCCCTTAATGAAGTGCACCCTACATGCACCATCTGGAGTCGTCCTATCTTTGTCAACATTACTTGCACATGCATAAATAAGGCGTACAAAGCATTCTAAGGATAGATATGCTGGAGTGAAAGGCAGTCATTAACTCCTAAATGTCGTGCCTAATATTGTTTTTCTTAGAACGTTATACTTGTCCTTAAACTAAACAACAACTTGAAAATTGCGTTAAAAATTTGATAAAAGAAATGGTATGTTTTCAAGTTCGACTGGGGAGTAAATTAGGAGGCGAATTGTGGATAAGGAGACACAAGTACGTTTCAATGTTCGAGAGACATACTGATATAAATAATATAATTTAAAGGAAATTCGTAAAATTCATCCATATATAATATATATTTGAAGATTCCATAATTTCTCCAAGTAATTCATTTATTTGATAAAAATCATGTCCATCCTTCAATCCACCATCAAACATACAGGAAGAAAGTACCCTTAAGGAAAGTAACCGAATCTCATCGATCGACCCAATCGTTGTATGACATTGTTTATCACTTTCACGCCCTTTTAGTTAGACATAAGAGTTGTTTGCCTGCATAATACCGTATTAAAAAAAAAAAAGAAATGGAAAGTTTTCCTTTTATTTTAATTTCTTTATCCATATATATGTTTTTTTTTTTTTATTATGGATTGAGTATATATAAGGAGAGGCTTTTATTTTCGCTCAATTAAAGAAAGGCTTTTATTAGTTAGCTGGAGGATATCTAATTCAAGAGCAACGTTTGTAAATAAAATAAACGAAAGGATCAAACAAAAAAACAAAGCACACCTATTAGCTAGAAGAATCGTGTTTCGTTTAA